CTCCAGCACTGCCTCCTCAGAGAAGCTCTCTGTGACCACCACCCCACCCCCGGCTCCCCCCGCGCTCCCTCGCATGCCTCCACGGAGCAGCATATCTGCGAAGCATCACTTAGCAGAACAGAAACCTTTTCTATCTGTTTCCTTACTTCCTGCCTCACTAGGATGTAAGTTGAGTGAGGGTGGGGACTATGTCACATTCACGGTTATCTCCCCCAGAGCCCAGCACAGTGCCTGACAAACAGTGGGAAGTTTTTAAATATTTAGAGATGGTAATCATCCCTGTTGTAGGCAGAGGCTGAGAGAGGTTGAGTAACATGCTCAGAGTCACAAAGCCGGAAAGTGGCAAGGCCAGGGACTGTAGGAGCCCACGGAAAGGCTGGAACAGGGGCCGAGCAGGGAGGGCTCCAGGGCCCAACAGGCTTTGTAAGACAGAGGGGAGAGTGCACGGGTGCAGTGCCTGTGTGCACGTCTGTGAGCAAGCATATAGTGCAGGCATGTGTGGGTGCAGACACACATGGAGGACGCTGGGCAGCCACTCAGAAGGCAGTCCCCCTGGGTGGTGAGGTTGAGATAGGATCCAACAGGCCTAGGGGCAGCTAGACCCATATCGTTGGCCAACTGGGATCAAGCCATTCTACTTTGGGAGAAGCCAGGGACAGGAAAGGGACAACCCAGTGCTTCAGGCGGGCGCCCACATTGACCACAGCCATACCCAGTGGCATCAGGGGGCTGGGTGGGTTTGGGAGGAGATGGGGAAGACAGGCCCACTTGGTGGAAATGGGGCTTCAGGAGGCAGAGGAGCCCAGGAAAAGCAAAATCTAAGAGCCTATGTGGGATGCTCACGGGTGCTGAGAGCCCAGGCAGCATATGTCAAGGGGGCTGGGGTCAGAGAAAATCGTTCTGGAATGTCAGTGAAAAGGCAAAGCTGAGACCACAGTTGTCCCAGGGAGCAGGACCGAGAGCCAACAAACTCCAGTTTTGCCTCCAACGTGAGAAGGAAGCTTGGGTGAATGAAACCCTTGATTTCCCGTGTACATCAGAGATTCCTAACAATTTCAAAGTCTTTGACTTCTTTGAGCATCTGATGAAGCTGTGGATCCCACCCGAGACAGACTGGCACATCCGTGCATAACATGCTGAGTGATTTCTGAAAGGCTCACGGACCTCTAAGGCCCATCCATAGGCTCTGGGCATGAACCCCAAGCTGGAAAAACCCCCACGGACCTCCCACCTCTGATACTGAACACTCAGAGACAGTTCTATGGGGGGGGGAAGCTGAAAACCTTTCACTATCACACCCATTCTATGCTCACTGGGAACCCACTCACACATCCCCATTGGTCCCACTGCCCTTCCCCAAAACCCCTACTATACTGACTCCCTCGCTCACCCAGGTTTTAGCGCATGGGCTGGGGTCTTCACACATACACAAACACACAAGTATACGCACAGGCAGTTAAATAAGAGGGCTGGCATGCAATTGGTGCTCAGAACAGACCTTAGCCAGCTGTGCCTACACCATTCATGGGCACTCCAGCGCTCCCCAGGAACCTGCTGGGCCACCGAGAGAGCACGGGCATCAGGGAGTCGGGCATCAGGGAGTCGATAGGAAGACACCTCAGGGGGCGTCACTGGATCACACAGTTAACTGTGCTCTCCTGCCTCCCAACCCCAGCCTCTGCCAGCCAGGGAGTCTGGAAGTCAGGGCCTTCCTGTCACCCCGGAGCTCTAGGCACCCTCCCTAGACAAAGATCAACCTGGGCACATACCTCCTCGGTGTCTCAATTGCCCAGGGCAGGGAGGTGCCCAGGATACAGAGGGTTGTCTACCCAGAAGCCCCAGGAACTTTCCTGCCTCCATTTCCCACAGTGACCCCAATCCCTCCTAACCCACTTGGTCTTCCCAGCTTGGACCACCTGGTGCAGCAACAAGTGCCTCAGCCTGGAACAGTGCAGTCAGAAAGGCCTGGCTTCAAACCCCAGCTCTGCCACCCACAAGCTGTGTCCCCTCGGGAAGAGGTGCCCACCTCTCAGCCTCAGCATCCTCCCCTGTAAAACGGGGAGTGCTAACAGCATCTGCCTTGCAGGCTGCAGTGAGGACAAAGGAGATGGCGTGGGTGCGATGCTCAGAGTGGCCACGAGTGCACAGGGAACGGCAGCAGCTGCTGCCCCCAGAATCCTGTCTCAGGGGAGCGGGCTGGCTGCCCACACTGGGCATGGAATGCACAGGAGAGCAACATGGGCAGCACAGGACACTCAATGGGCCCCAACAGACCCTTGTTCTTGGCAGCCTGACAGAGAAGGTTCTAAGGCGGGGACTTCAGAGGCCCAGCCTGAGGGTGGAGGCAGGAGAAGGTCCTGGGGGAACCAGGAGGATGGACCAGAGAGAACACCCTACCTTTTCCTGAGGCAAGTGAGGACCCTACAGCCCTGGCCCCCACTGACGCTCCCGCCCCAGGCCAGGCACCCTCCCAGCTTTCCATCTCAAAGTCACAGATGTGGCTGGGCCTCCCTTAAAAGGCATCCATCCCCTTTAGGTGGTGCCAATCTTGGGGTATTAAGGAGCCCAGCACCACCCTGCTTTCCTCCTCTCATTTTGGCTCCTGAGGAACCAGCTTGCCTTGGGTTGTAGGGATCTGGAAGGCCTCCTCTTTTTCTTGGTCAGGCAGCGGTCCCTGAGCCCTGGATGCACATTTGCATCTTATCTGCATGTGCCCTGCAGCCTGCTGGGATTCCCATGGGCCCCTGGGCCCAGTTCCTCAAAGGTCATCCCTTGACATCTTTTTACTTGCTTCTTTTCCCACCCCCAAGCCACTTTGCTTATCATCTGCATACATCTGCATGCTGGTTTGGAGGGCCCTCTACACTGCTGAAATTCACAATGTCTCCTGTCAAATCCCAAATCATGCTTGTAACTGGCGACTCTACCCGCAGCTGACTTCCCTATAGGGTAAGCCCTCAATTATCTGGGACCACAAAGGACTGGGCTATTCGGATGAAGTGACTGGCTGCTGCTCTCTCTTCCTGGATTCCAGAAGACACCTGGGACTCACTCTCCTTCTTGAGCCACATTTGACCCATGAGCCTGTGGACTGAGAGTTGAACCCCACGAGCTCTATAATGGACTGGCCAAGTGCAAGTCTTCCCAGTCAGCCCTGTTCAGCTAAAACACCTGCGGGGGAGCGGGCGGACCCACGAGCTTCAATCTCTGAGCAGCCTCCCCCGGTCTAATTCAACAGCCGGAGAGAGGAAATAAGACATTTCATCCTCCCTTCTTTGCCCAATTTTCACTTACCCAGTTACTGTCTAGATCCTCACATTTTCTGTCCAACACCTCCCAAGAAAACCCCTCTCCCCCATCCCCTGTGATCTTCGTCCTCACCCCTTCCCCAACCTCTTGACTATGTCGCTCCACTTAACCCCTCCCTAGCTGAGTCCCCCTTCCCCTCCTCCCTTCCTCTTCCCCCATCCTCTCCTATTTTAAGACTTAGCACAGAGTCTGACAAAGGTCGTGGTCTTCTTGGGGCTGGTTGAGGGCCAGCAGCATGTGGAACAAGCGAGCATGTGTGAAAGGTGAGCACTGGGCCATTGCACTATTGCCTCCCTGTCCCCATCCCTGA